AGACCTTGCTGAAAGGAACAGAGTCCACTTAATATGGATTCCAGGGCACAGCGGTTTTGAGGAAAACAAAAAAGCAGATGAACTAGCGAGAAAAGGGGCGGCTTCATATTATATTGCGCCACCACCATTCTGCGGTCCTTCGTGGAGCTTTTTTAAACTTAAAACTAATGAATGGCTGGAAAGAGCAGCTCAGAATGATTGGGATAATACAATTATCTGCAGACAAGCAAAAGAATCCATGCCGTTTCGATCAAAAGCCAGAACTAGGGAGCTACTTATGCTGAACAGAAGTGGCATCCGACTTGTCACATAATTTCTAACTGGACACTGTGGAGTTAAAAAACATTTATTGAATCTAGGTATTACTGGAGACGATAGCTGCAGACTTTGTTGCGAAGAAGAGGAAACAGCAGAACATATTTTGTGTCACTGTGATAGTCTAGCAAGACTCAGACTTTGCTACTTATCCACTGCCTATCCGCTTATAACGGAATTACACAACATCTCTCCAAAGGACATATTGGCATTCTTAACTACTACTCGTCTATGGAACTGAAGTGGGTATGTCACAATAATCCCTGAGGATGCAGTGACGCGGTGACTAGTTCGCAACCCTTTTTGAAAATAAAAAAAAAAAGGACCGCGACGGCTTTTCATACTTTTAATGAATTTCCCATAATAATTTACAGCTCCTAAAAATGCTCGTGTTTGTTGCAAATTTATTGGTGGTGGGAGATCTTGGACTGATCGAAGTAACATATTGATCTACCTTGTGTCCGCAGAACTCGACTGATGTTTCTCCAAACTTATATTTCTCAAAGCGAAGTTTGAATCCATAATCCTGAATACGCTTTAAGGTTTTAAACAGTTGAATTTTGTGGTCTTCTTCGTTAATTCCCGAACAGATCATATCATCAATAAACCCAATGGTATTGGTTCCGCTAAAATGCTAGGGGCTGTTTTAACACTTTGCTGCAGTCTAAGTACTTTAAATAAGCCGAGATGAGTATTCTTGGTCTACTGGAATCTGGAAAAATGCATCTGATAGGTCAATTGTGCTAAAGACTTTCTTATTAGCGAGTTTGGAGAATATTTGGTCAGGCGTTGGAAGAGGATATTTATTTGGCTCTAGACCGTCATTTAGACCTGTAGAATAATCGGCACATATACGAATTTTTCCATTTTTCTTACAACTACGATTGGCGACGCTGACTGTGAGTATTCAATCGGTGAAATTAATCGGTGAACTGTGAGTATAATTAATCGGTGAAAGTTGTTGAAGACGTTCAAGTTCTGCCGAAACTATGGCAGCTGCTGCATATGGAACTGGTCGAGCGTTCCGATAAACGGATCGCGCTCCTTCTTTTAGCCTCAGAGTCGCTTGGGTCTTCGTAAAGCAGCCAAGGTCATTAGAAAAGAGAGACGGAAATCTAGCCTTTATTTCATCGTTTAATATAACGCTACTAGTTTGTTGGATTGCTTTGCAAAAGGAACTGATAGGGACTAACCATAAGTCAAATGTCGTTATCCAATCAATTCCAAACACGTTCAACTTAAGTGGTGTGACATGACACACATCATATTCCTCTCTTCCATTTAGGTTCACAACACAAGCAAAGCTGCCCAGAAGAGGAATTACATTTCCAGAAGCATGCCAGCTTTTTTATTAGTAGTTTGTAGGGTTGGCTGGCCAAGTTTGGTTCAGTTCGATTTGGAAATAATTGTTATGTCCGACCCGGTATCAAGTTGGAGTTTAATTGTAGATCCATTGAGATTTGGTCTGACATACCTAGGATGCTGCTGCGTTCTGTTAGTTTCGTCAATTTTCTTCACACATGATGTGTCAGGCTGAGATTTTCTGCGTCGCAACTTGCTTGGCTTCATATTGTAGTAACCATTTTTGTGCCCAATAGTGTTACATGCTGAACATTCTTTGCCTTTTAATGAGCAATCTTTAACCCAATGAAGTCCTCCACAACACCAACATGGCAGTGGTGGTTTCGAAGATTCGTCTTTTGTTGTAGAATTTGATTATGATTCATTTTAGTGTGGAGATCGATGGTGAATTGCAAAAACTTCTGAGCTTGAAGATGGCTGGACGACAGTGTATTTGTCTTGCTTCAGACAGATTATAAGTTTAGCTTCATTCGTGAGGTCTTGAAGTGTTAACTGCACGAAGGCATCCTTTTGCGCCTGTGTCTAAAGTGCACCAAACTGTGTTGATTCATTGTCGAGTCTTGCAAGGAGTTTCTCGAGTATTAACGAATCATGTGAACTCTTTAGTGATTGACAAATTTTTGTGCTTTAACTCATCGGGACTGCAATTAACGATGTCAAATTTTTCACAATGTTTGTTGACGCGAGCTGCATACTGAGTAAAGTCTTCATAATGAAATTGTGAAACATTTTTGGCGCTGAGAAAATTTTGATTGGCGATATCCGAAAATAGACGAGAGTTTGGCAACCGTTTGCATGAGTGTAAGCTCATGGGGTTCTTTTGGTAAGATTGAATTTGCAATCTGCTCGAAATCCAAATTCTTTAATTTGCTAGTGAGCAATCGAACCTTAGTCGGCTCAGTGAGATGTGCTGCTTCTATAGCGAAAACTGATTCATAACGTTTGTACCATGATTCAAATGTGACATTATTTTCAGGATCATAGCAAAACTCCAGCATTGAGTCAGATAGATTCCTGAATGTTGACTAAACTGCTTCTGTAGTTGAAGGAGGCGCATAAATTTGTTGTTGTGTCCGCGACAAACAAAGCTCCTCAAGCAAAGCGTTATTTGATTTTTGCACAGCTTGCAACAACAAATTAAACTGTTCCGCATTCATATTGTAACGACCTTTTCCGGCCCTATCTACAGCTGGGGTTTACTCAGCGTGTATACCAGGGTTCGTTATAAGAAATTAATTAAAATAAAAAAAACAAAATAGCCACTTTTGGTTGTAGCAACGTTTATTGTGCAGAAAAAAATACAATGAAGTAGAAAGTTGTAAAATATTGTAACTAGTAAATATAAAAAAATGTTGTAACAATGTTGTAAATGTTGTAAAAAAAAATGTTGTACCAATGTTGTAAATTGTGTCGAATGTTGTGAAAACGTTGTATGATGTTGTATATGTTGTAAAAAAAATGTTGTACCAATGTTGTAAATGATGTTGAAAAAGTGTTGTATTATTATTATTATTGAGTAATGGATCTTGCACTGTGACCTGAAAGATCTATTGTGCCCCTTTGTCGGGTTAGAGTATTTCTCCAAGTCCGATTTCTTTAATGAAAGACAGTATGGATCCTATCTTCACCAGTCTTGAATCCTTATGATCCATGAAATACCCTCCTAGGTGTTTCTTTCGCTTATGCATCAGTGCCGGGCACTCCCCAAGCACATGGTATGCCGTTTCTCTTCCCTGCAGTATCTGCAGTCTAAGTTGGATTGAATTCCTAACTTCGATAGGTGATTATTCCATCTGCAGTGACCGGTCAGTAATCCCGTAATAATTCTTATGTTAGTTTTGGATTGTACTATGCAATCTTTAAAGCGTTTTAGGTTGTAAGTCCCTAAAAGCATTTTAGATTGTGAGAGTCTTGGTAGCATTTCCCAATAGAGTTCTCTCTCTTTTTTCTCTGCATCATTCATAATAATGGATAGAGCTCCTTTGCCTAGACCACAGAATGGTTCTGGGCCTATCATTCTTGATGCCGCGCCTCTTCTTGCAAGTTTGTCTGCCATTTCATTACCTTGGATACCAATATATCCCAGAATCCATAAAAGGTGCACCTGATTGATCCCACCGAGTGTGTTCAGCTTGTTAATGCATTCCCATACCAGTTTGGATGTTACCTGGTAAGATATGAGTGCCATTATAGCTGCCTGGCTGTCAGTCAGTATTGCAATTTTACGGTTCCGGTAGTTACGTTCAAGATTGAAACTGGCGCATCTATCTATCGCGTATATTTCCGCTTGAAAGATGGTTGTATTGTTTCCTAATACTTCCCAGTATTTTTTGCCTGGTCCATAAACACCAGCTCCAGCTCCCTCATTGGTGAGAGAGCCGTCTGTATACCATGTTATCGTGGTTTCTTTTATTTTTGGGGTGTTAGACAAACCTTCCCAGTTCTTTTTGTTGCCAAGTTCAGTTTTGAAGTTTTTTGTAAAGTTATGCTTTACAATCATCCTGTCCATTGGCATTCCAATTTCTGGGATTTGTGTAGCCAAAGTATCAAGTTTTTTGCTGTTGGTTTCACCTTGTTTGTAGTTACTCTTAGAGCAGCCCACTTCGCCTGTGATTGCACATAGATATGAAGAGGAGTAAGTTCCAGGAGTACTTCAATTGATGACGTGGGATATGTTCTCATTGCTCCTGTTATGCTTACACATGCAAGTCGTTGTACCTTGTTGAGTGTGTTGATAACGCTTTGTTGATTTGTGCAGTTCTGGCAGACTATTGATCCGTAGGTGATCATTGGTCTGATTACTGCTGTGTATATCCATCGCAGTGACTTTGGTGTACATCCCCAATTCTTACCTGCGATGGATCTACATGTCATAAAGGCTTTGGTTGCCTTTTTTGTCACTTCTTGGATATGAGATTTCCATCTTAATTTTTGGTCTAAAATTATACCCAAAAATTTTAACTACTTTTGTAGTTTTATTTCAAACCCATCTAAGCGGATGGGTTTGAGGTTTTTTATTTTGTATTTCCTAGTGAATAGCACAATGGTTGTTTTTGCTGGATTTATTTTCAGCCCAACCGAATTGCACCATTCTTTAGTTAGTTTTAAGCCTAACTGATTTCTTTCGCACAGAGTATTCTCAAATTTTCCTCTGCAGATAATTACCACATCATCGGCGTACCCCTGGATTTGGAAGCCATACCTGTCCAGTTTTACCAATAGTTCATCCACTACCATACTCCACATAAGGGGTGATAATACTCCACCTAGTGGGCACCCTCGCGAAGTATTTGCAAAAATATTGCCACTACTGGTCGGAATTTCTACTCTCCTCCACTGATTTTAGGCATTGTGATTACATTTTTGACAATTTTCCAATCATCCTTCTTTATTGTTTTAGGGGGTTCAGTGTGTTCTGATTCCGTTCCCAGAGTTGAAGAGGATCCTGGGAAGTGTAGGTCCAGAAGTAGTTGTATCTTTTCTTCTTCACCTTCGGTGAAACTTCCATCTTCTCGCTTGAAATTTGTGGCTGCTGCTGTGAGGCTGCTGCTTTTTGCAAGTACCTTGTAGAGTCTTGATACCTCCGTAATGCTTTCTATGCTATCGCAGAATTTTTGGAAGCTTCTGCGTTTAGAGGCCCTAATTTCTCTATTGTACAAAGTAAGTTTTTGCCTATATTCTGACCAGTCTCCTGTTCGCTTTGAATAGTTAAAAAGTCCTCTAACAATGTTTCTTAGGTTTTTAAGGTCATTGTTCCACCGAGGCACATCCTTGGTGGAGTTAATCAGGCTTAATGGACAGCTATCTTCATATGCATTTAGTATGGCACCATTGAGGTTTTCTAGGTTATTTTCTAATTGAATTTCATTCTGAATGATTTCATCTAGCCCTAATTGGACAAGATTGTATTTCAGATTTTCCGTATAGTTCTCCCAATTTGATTTCCTTGGGTTCCTTAATATTTTCTTGTTAATTGGTGAACCTTCAATGTTGAACCTTACAATTCTGTGATCAGACATAGATGGTTTATTGGATACTCTCCAGTTTTTCACAAGCTCACAACCTCGAATATTTCCTATAGTAATATCTAGGACCTCTTTGCGTAAGATAGTTACAAATGTTGGTGTATTACCTACATTACATATTTCTAATTTTTTACTAGTTATAAATTCTAAAAGGTACTCACCTCTTATATTGGCGTTAGTGCTTCCCCAAACTTCTTTGTGGGCGTTAGAGTCGCAACCGAGTATAAGTGGCAATTTCATTCTCTCGCAGTAGTTTACCAGTTTATCGACCTCTGCAGATGGTATCTGAGTGTCGTCTCCTGGTAGATAACCTGTAGCTACGACTACGTTCCGTAGAACTCCGTTGATGTTAGCCGGAATCTGTATGGCATCCAGGTCCCTGGAGAGAAATTCTGAAAGACAGATAAAGTTGATATTAATATTCAATAAAATGCAGGTTCTTGGTTTATCACATCTTACATCCCAAATTGTCTGCATATTCTTTGCAGTCAAACCACAGATTCGACCCCTGTAAATCCAGGGTTCTTGGACCAGCACTATGCTCAGGTTCGATTTGAGCGTAGCCCTTGCGATAAATGCCGACGCAGCTTTTGCATGGTGGATATTTATTTGGGCGATTCTAGTGCTGGTCATCAGGTGGTTATTCCTCCTTCGTTTCTTCTATCAGACCGTCGTCGGTGTCTGACAGAAAGATTCTTTCGGAGTCTTCCTCGGACGCCAAGTTCAGTAGAGAGAGATCTAGATTCTCAATGTCCTCACTCTCGTGAGGTAGCACGCTGATATCTTCAATCTTCTCGCTCCTGGTCGCCTCCTCCTCCACTAGTTCCGCAACAGTTGCAGGTATCGTTCCTACAGCTGGTGTATTTTCCCCAGCTGAGTTACTTCTTTCCTTGTTGTCTCGTCCCTTATGCAGGTGAATTGGGACGGAACTGAACCTGTAGAAGATCCTACAGCCGTTGGTTGTTATGGCTTCCTGAGACCGGTTGTCAATCCCGATTGTTAGGAGTTTGCCATTTTTCAGATCCTTGCTGCTAAAAACTCTCCACATCTGAGTATGTAGACCCTCATTTTGAGTTATGAGCAATTTTAGCAGCTTTTCCGTGTCGACCCCTTTAGCTCTTGGGAGGTAGACTGTCAACATGTGTAAATTCGGTATTTTGTCCCCGACACACGTGGTGAGTTCAGCGCCTTCCCATCCGTTCAGCTTAGGTGCCGTTCCATGGATAAAATTAGCCGCATCCTCGTCTACGCAGTCAACCAGTATAAGTCCTGGGCGAAAGTGTATCCCGCTAAATCGTAGCTTGGCATCCCATCCTTTATACATCTCCTCAATGAAAAGTTCCTCGATTTTACCTTGCTCATCCCTAGAGAGAGTTGATTCCGGGTAAGATTTCGGAAGAATTGCTATTCTTAAGCTCTTGGCTACATTAGCGTAACTGCTGCCCGATATTATCTTTCTCGGTTGTTTTGGTGCAGCCATTTGCGTACCATCCTTTGCTTGTGGAGGTTTCTCATTCCCTCTTCTTTTCTTAGCTGATTGAAGATCGATCGGACTAATTTCTTGGGCAGACCTCTTCTTAGAGTCTTGACTGCCCCTCGGCCGATTGAGCGCCTTTCCCTTAGCTGCCTCCGGTGCTAAGCCTTCTTTGAGATAGCGCAGGTACCATTTTGTACCCGCACCGCTCAAACCAGTAGATTTCCTGGCGTCGCGAAAGCTTTGGCCGGAGGTTAGTCCAGTGCTTGTCGAGGGCTGTGGTAGTGTTTCGATCGTTACATCTTTTGGTGCAACCTTTGAACCCAGAGTTCCTTGACTTCCTTTTCGTAACGAAAGTTCCGTTTTTGATTCAGTTAGCAGAGAGCTAGTATTGTTCCTAGCTTCTTTGCCCTCAGTACGTTTTTCCGCTTTCCGTTTTGGAAAGGCTGCCTGGCGATCGGTATGTTGGATATCAGACTCCGACCGATTTACCAGTTTATTTGCAGTGTGTGTTCCTGCTGGTTTTTTTATATTACTATTAATGTTAATCAAATTATGTTCCATAAAAGTCCCACGAGTGTGGGGGAAAAGAGGTCCGCCGTGTCATAGCCCCAGATAACACGGTAAGCCCACAGTTACTCAATGAGGCGGGCAGGTATCATTGAGGTGCGACGCTAAAATACAGTCTGTTACCCCCGACTGCAAACAAGTCCGATGAACACGTGCAATTCCGGATTGGGGGGGAAGATGGAAGTGGAGAGGGATAGGGGTATTGAAATG